TTTATAAATATTTATGCTTTTTGGTACCTGTTTTGCCCGTTGAATCTAGCTCTGAAGCCCTCTTTTTAAACGTAGTGAGTTCGAGTTCGCTATTGACCTACTAAGTTTTTCTTGAGGGTTGGCGATGGAAGTAAATGTGCAAATCTGACGCTTATAGTTCCAGACCTTGATTCACCAATGTCTGGATTCGTAATAAGGGTGGAGTAGTATAGACTGTTTTTAACAGTACTTTTGCGGGTACCATTCCGGTTCGTCCTACTTCTACCTGCCCTCTGGTAGTATAAACTATAATATTTCATTAAAAAGTGCGAAAGTATATTGAAGTAAGGATTGCGCGCTACAATATTGTCCATCTTTAACCATGCTATGAAGTATAGGTTTCTGGAAAGCTATTTATAACTGGAAAATAAGGTACGTCTGCAAGGATTACGGAATGCGTAACTGATTATTTCAAAACGATGGTGATAACTGTGGTAGTCAACATCATTTTATGATTGACCAAAAATAATGCTCACGGTCAGCGTCAAGAGTAATTGTTCAGAATACGAGAAGTTGCGTATCTGGATACTCGATTCCCTGCGAATACCATCACTTGTGTGGTCTCCATCGCCAACACACGGGTCTTTATGTAAACTACTCAAATCGAATCACAATCAGTATTGCTCCCCGTTTATCCTTCAGCTTGTTGGAAGTGGCGAAGAAGCACTGGGAGGAGATGGAAATGGCAGTTGAGGAGTCTGCAAAGGTGAAGGAAGGTTACCCCCTCTACACACGCCCTATGCACGCCCTCACGGATTGTATGGGTCGGAACCTAGTACATGCTGCAGCTCTGGGCGGTTCAATTGAGTGCTTACGCAGCGTCCTTTTCGCTGGTGGCGGGCCATTCGAGGCAGATCGATTCGGGCGCACTGCACTCCACTTTGCGATGCTCTCAGCCGCGCTGACTCGTCGGTGCAATGCGGATGAACCACCTATCCGCTTGCCCATTAAGAACAAATCTATCTCTGAAGTGGTTTGCGTTCTTCTCAAGGTGTGTGCTTTTTACTACACTTATGAACTTTAAGTTGGACCGAAAACAGGCACAAATCGAATCTTGTACGCCCACTTTTCTGCCATTATGGTTTCATTGACCTGAGATGGCTTGCTCACCTCCTTTCAGCATATGATAACTTTTGGAACTGGCAAACAGTTAAGCTGACTTATCCATAGTAGGATATGATTGCCCAATAGTACCTCTATCAAATGTCTTATCAGGCGTACTTTTTGGGCTTTGTGAGCGCTTTTCCTCTTTAGTCACCTGGGTGTCAGGATGAGGTCATGTGTTGATTTTTAATCCCATACTCTGAAATGGGTTGTCAAATTGCGTTTTCCATACAATCTTCATTTTAGGAGTTGGCTGAATTTCCATTACCCAGAGAATGTGTTATCACCTTGCGACAAATGCATTTTGTGTTGGTTGCTGCCTGTGAGAAGATTGGATCAAAAGTGATTCAGTTTAGTGAATTGCGTAGCCTTTTTTTTTGCCTTGACTGAGCCTATCTGTATATCTGGGTCGTCGTAGGAAACGAATGAGTCCTGTAGCCATTGATCTTTTTTACTGTGGATAATGGTATTGCGGTGACTGTGAGCGACCTCCCACAGACTTACCTACAACAGAATCCTCCGTTCTTCGGTTCCATAGACACGCTGAATCGGGGTCGTTAATCTTTCAGAGTATTTTGCTTAACTCTGCGCGATTGCTCTGGAGTCTGTGTTCGATGTGGCGTGACCAAATACACAAAGGATCCGGTAGAGGGTTAACAGCAAGTGTCTTCATCGGAACTTAACGCTAACAAGGCTAAGAGATGAGAGAATTTACCGTTCGACAAAATGCCCAGTGCACCTTGTGCATCACCTAAAATCTAAGGGGAACATAAGGGACATCACCTTATCATTACCTACTGGGCTGCAATAGCACTTCAATAAGCGTGAATACTCCCTTGCACTGCACATTTTTCTTATCAGGCTGAGACCTAAAAAGGATGCCTTTTCGTTACATAATACGATAGCTGCAGTTTTATGTGATATTATCTTATTTCATATGGACGTTTCATTAACTGATCTTTAAATCAACCCTCAATTTGTCTGTAGGAACTTGGTTAGATTTCTTTGACTTGAAGATGCGCCTAATGTTTATATCATGCCTAATCCTATTCCCCAAATTATCTCAAACGACCGTTTATATACTTGTTTACGTACTTTCTGCCCATTGATAGCTGGGCGTAGATCCAGACGCCCCGGATATTGACGGGTGCACGGCACTGCATTTGGCCTCTGCTTTTGACACTGATGGCCACCTAATGAAGCTGCTTTTGCGACATGGTGCTGACCGTTACGCGGTCTTTGCGCGCCAGCCCAAACCTCTCTTGATCTCCAGCTCCAACTCACAAGACAGCCTTCAGTCTCCTTTGCGTCCTGTGTCCCGCCAAGGCTCAGGCGTCTCATCAGACTTGAGTAGCGGTAGTAGCATCAGCAAAATTTTGGGAGAGGGTCTCTCGCCAAATGATTCCACCGTTATTCGCACAGCCGATGGGAAACAGGGCAAGGTGATGGCCAGCAAAAACATTTATTCTTCCTTTATTTCGGCGCACTTAGTCTTTCACATTCTTCTTTTGCAGGTGGCATACTATCCCATTCACTTGGCCGCTGCCATGGGTAACACCACGGCTCTAAGACTTCTCCTTTGTGGAATGACCAAAGCGAAGATTTGCCAACTAGTACTTGATTCGGCGAAGATGACCAAGTATTACCCGATTGGGGAGAAAGAGGGAGGAAAAATTGCATCTGACTCGTCCAGTTGGTACTTCTACTCGCCCCTTTTTCTGGCTGCTTTCCGAGGCCGGGGAGATTGCGTAGAGGTTGGTTGCTTAACCACTTTTGTCCCTCGCAGTACATAACACAGAATGCTTCCATCGATTCCTGATTTGCATCTTGCATGTTTATTCATTTCCGATTTTTAAATTTTTGGCTCCATTTCTTGCTGCTCATCATAAAATTTCATGTAGTTGGGGGAAGGTTAATGATGCAATCGTTCTCCAGCTTTACTTATGTTTGGGTAACGCTGGTAACTCTGGTGGAGAAGGCTTTCTCACCCGATAGTGTAGTAATCATTTCTCTAAACAATAATCCAACTTGTAGAACATTCCATCGACCAAGCCTAATCGTCGTATAGGCGGTCGTAAAATTGAAGGTATTTTTTTGGGCAGATGCTTTTGAATGCCTGTGAAGAATCAGCTACCGATCCGAAGGATGAATCAAACGATGCGAAGGCGAAAGAGGTGGATGAGGAGGACATCTCCCTCCATCCACTACTAAGCGAAAAGCGACCTTGTACTTGGCTCACTGATCCGCTGGGTCGAACACTGCTGCACTACGCTGCGCACGGGGGTCACCTGGAAACGTGCCAGGTGCTCGTAATGCACCATCTCAGTCAGGCCGATCCTGCCATCAAGGACGGTCTGAATGGGTGGACTGCTGCGCACCACGCTGCTGCACGGGTAGGGTCGACATTCAAATATTTCACAAGTTCTCTTGTCGATTTTTTGGTGGCCTATAGTGAACCTTACTGATTGTAATGCTTAAACAAGTTTAGCTTACCAAGTGACCCTACGCAACTCACCCTTTCGACATAATATCGCTTTTTGATCTGCACACTATCCTTTCTTTGCCTGAACAAATCTTTTCTATAAAGCAGTATATTCAACTTGTCTTTGGTAGACTGTAACTTAGTCTGCTTTCTCTGGAAGCGTATTTTTTGAGGTATAAAAGTAACCAAGAACCTGTCTCTTCCCTGCTTCCCAAAAGAATCTCGATGTAATTTTACACTTCATGAAGATCATGAATCAGTGGAGTGGTTTAAGTGGGATGGACACTCATCTAACCCCCTTCCATTTTGGTCTCGTTTTCGCAGGGTCATTGCCCAGTGCTTCAATTTCTTCTGCGTTGGCATGCATCGAAAACGAACTCCTCACTGGGTAATACAATTTCCCTATTCCACTCTCTCTCCCATTATTTGCAACTGTTTTATCCATCATGACAGATTTGCTAAACGTTCGAGATGAGAATGGTCGTACACCGTTGATGTTGGCGGCGCAGTACCAACGACTCACTGCAATTCACTTCCTTTCCACTTTTCAAATGCGGCCCTCGAAAAACGTGGATTTTGATGGACGCACATTAGATGCTCACATTATTCGCCGCGTCAACCTCAGCGACAAAATGGGTCGAACAGCCCTCCACCGCACGGCCATCAATGGACAAACTGAGGGTATGAAAATTCTCCTTGAGGTGGGTTTAGATCATTAAATAAACCATTTTCGAGCAATTGGTTCGTTCTGAAATCTCCTGTGCACCAAACTTTTGAAATTCCAAATGTTCTTGAATGGTCTGCCACATAGTCGTTCTTTGTTGGATGAGGTAGCAAGAAGTGATGATGTATAAACCAAGGATTCAGAATGAGGCGAAATCCACAGCCTTGGGAGAGTGTTCACAGTGTCAGATTGACGCTGTGATCGCGGTTGTGGAGCAAAATTTCTTAACCTCAAAACTGCGTGGCTGAGTTTTACATCGCCACTGTGTGGTAAAGTGTGACATCTTTTGGCGTCGTGTGAGGGACTATATTTGAGGTGCCGTGGATAGGGGTAGATATCATCGCTGCAGATAGGGCCGTTAGTCTTCGTGGGAAGGTATTTGTTTTATCAGTTCAGGCTACAGTATTTAGATGCTTCTACATTCGTACCTTAATATGTTGTGCATGCAAACGCTGTGGGTATGGTCTGTCACTTTAATTACTGTTACCAGAACCGGTCCAAGATTTGTGCGATGACTGGTTATGCGTTAAGGCGTCTGTGAATTTACTGCAGTTGGTCTTATCGTCACAATGAAATGAGAATTTGAGATGGTGGCATTAGGAGCCCCAGTTCGTCTCACACCTCTCACTATGCCGTTTTTATGATCTCTACAGAGGAAAGCGATTAAGTACCAATGAACGTATTCTTTTCTAGGCTGGAGCTTCGTTGACAGCTGTTGACGTCAATGGAAGGCAGGCACTGCATATGGCGGCTTGTAGCGGACAGTTGCACACCCTGTCGTTTATCTGTGATACTCTGCAGGTGAAGTCAACCGCCTCTACTCCTGAGGAGCTCGAAGCTGAAATCATCGCCCCCTTGGACGCACGGGGCTTCACACCCCTTCACCTTGCCGTCTATCGAAATCACGTCTATTGTGTCAGAAACCTTCTTCGATTCAGGGCTTACCAAGAACTTCTCGTGAGTTTTATCCACCTCTTTCTTTAACCGGTGGTTTTTATAATCTGCGCCGATACTTTTCTCCCCTACTTCTTTGGAATTTTAAACAAATGAATGGAACTTAAACTGGAATCGACGTGTGAGCTAGTAGCGCGTGGATAGCTGTCAAAATGCGATAATGTGTTCGAAGAAGTAAAACTTGGAGTTTGGTACTTCTGCAGCTCTTACTGCGTATAAAAGCATTTTTGACACCCACCTCTTACCATTATAGGGTGCTGATCCAAGACAACAAATACTCCATTTATCTTTTCTACAGGACTAATCATTTCGCTCACCTTCCCGACTCAACAGATTTCGCATGTGCAGAATGAGCGTTTGTAGACACGAATGCTTGTCACGACTGCATATGATTAGTCAAGGTCGTGGTTGTTACCCATGCACTGTCTTACTTTTTATACTCCTTCGTCTTCTGCAGGGCAACACCTATACTCCACTGCACTGTGCTGCTGCATGGGGTGATGCCACTTGCCTCACGGACCTCTTGAAGGTCTACCCTCCATCTGGTCTTAAAACGCTAGACGTACGTAATTCCACTCCTCTCCACATTGCAGCCATGGCTAACAGGGTGAGAAGTACATTCCCCTCATCTGTTGTTTATCTTTACTCAGGCTTACCCTAACTTTTTCCTCACAGGCAAAATCTGTTAAGGTAATTCTGGACACCATTATGGAAGCGGAACTGAATACCACCAATACGTCGAATATTAAACTTAAGGATGCCCTCAATTCTCGCGATATCCGTGGTTGCACACCGCTCATGGCAGCGGCCCGCGCTGGTTCTACTAAAGCCTTCTCATATCTCATCGAAGTTCACTCCAGTGTGGATGATGATTTCAAGGCGACGGTGCTCAATACGGACAACGAAGGATTTAACATCTTACACCAAGCTCTTTGCGCCCCCACTGAAAAGACTGCATTGAATATCATTCGCCGGTGAGTTAGGAACTCGACTCTTCTCACTCCACCTGCCTTCTTGACCTTTAAACCATAAGATTTTGAGTCGTTTGTTTAGATTTTTTGGGATAGAACCCGTAGTGGTATGGGAGATTGGTATGGCACTCGTAGCATATGAACCGGTTTCTGAAAATATCTTCCTTTAATGAAATGAACATAATCACAGTTAATAAGTAGCATTCATCTGCCTTATTTTGCTAAAATCGTAGCTGCGACACCTAATCACAGGATTTTTTGGTTGTTGGATAGGCAAGATCAAGCTGCCTAGGTACCAAAGGCATCATCCGGTTAAGAGCATAGTTTAAAAGTGCTCTCTCCGTGTTAGGCCCTTCATCCACGAATTGCTCGACGTGGCACTTCCCGATGGTCGCACCCCATTACATTTGGCCACTAGCAGCGAATTTGGTGAAGCCGTCACTGAACTGCTTAAACTAGGCGCCAATGCATTTAGCACCGACTCGTCGAACAGGTTGCCTGTCTACTTCGTTTCCAAGACTGATCAGGTAACTTTCATTCACCCTTGTTTGCTACATTGTCATCGAGGTCTTGAAAGCGCGTGAGCAACCCCAGTCTCCTAAAATGCCTCTCACTATTAATCGGGTTGAATGAACTAGAGAATTTCTCATTCTAAAGTACCTTATCAATGCTAGTATATCTGAATAAGATTAGGAGGATAATTGGGATTGGCTAAAACTTAATCACAGCGGTTTGTGGATTGACAACGAAGTAGACAGAGTGTATGTTGGGAAACTTTAAGGGCCATTGGTTTTAAGAGTCTTCACTCTATGCGCACGTGCATTGAACACACCCAAAATGGCATAAGGGATGTCTAAATCGAACTTTGGGGGCAGGTATCGTAGGTGCATCATACTACTGATAGTCAGCGCCTGCTGTCAAAGGATGTGACAGCATGCTGGGATGTTTGACATCTTGAAGATGGTCTGTCAGTAGCACTCCCGATCATGATAGTTTGTGCTCAGCCCACAGGCTCAGGAATCATTTGATCATCGTGTAGATGATCCGTCTTATTTCTGGAACTCAAAATGTCCTAAGTGACGAACGTTGCAGTTGATGCAACGCTGACATTCATGCATATTAGCATTTACAAGGAGGCAGAAGTTGTTGAATTTCCCGAACGGTTTATTTGAAATGACAGACATTTCCACACTCGGGCTTACTAGGCGTTTTTTAATGCAATATTCTGAAATGTCTACCACAATTAGAAGATGAAACCAACCTGAGTCCATATGGAGAATGTGACTGTTGTTTACCTTCCACTAGTCCTTTTCTTGTCTGGCCGCCCTCCTCTTTGAGATGATGCCGCAACTGAAGGAAATCCAGACCGATTCATTGATGCCAGTATCGAGAACCTTTCCTGACAGCGTCATGGCGGACTCCATTCGCAGCTCTGATCCGGAATTTTACTGACAACATTTACCTCAGGCATCTTCACATGTCAAGTATCTTCCATATTTCCTGACATAATGCCTTTATTTATGAATTTGAATACAGACTGTTTGGTAGCATAGTTTCTTAGCGGAATCCCCACCGATTCTCTTTGTTTACAGGGCAGTTGGTGACGAGCATACCTCAAGTCTATGAATTTGAGACCGGTTGATGGTAGGATACCTCTCTTTGGCAACTGTCAAGATTAGTCACTGCTGAAATTCAATCAATAGTGCGTTTACTCGAGTGTGCAATGTACCATTACCTATCACTCGACCAAAAAGCAAATGCGAATCCTTTTCCGTGGTGCAGTTGCCCGCATAGACCCTAACTGAAACGCTAACAGATATGATAGGCATATAACGGTGGATGAGCTCTTTGTCGATTGCTGCCTGAAGTCCGTCGCTTTGGAAGCAATTAGTTGGTTGGTAGGTTCATTCTACTCTTTCGAAAACATTGAATAAATAGTGTACAACGTTTCCATTCTTCCAAAAAGCTCAGCAACTTCAATCTGGATGGAAATGAACAACTGCAGAAGTAATGATTGCACAAAGTTGGACGATTTACATAGTCTTAAATTTCAACCAACATCCTCTCCCAACAGGGTACATGCTTGTAATTTCTTCTTTCTTCACAGTTGAGAAAAGCGCCATTTATGGTCTGTCTCATTAATTTTATGCGTGCTTAAAACAAATTAGGCGGGCTGCTGTGATTGTCTAATGCAATTGTAATTAAAAATGGGTGTCCAATGGACTTGATCATTCTACCAGAGATTATTATGGAACTAACAGAAGTGGTTGCATCCTTACTAAAGCATTTAGGTAAGTATTGTACAACACAATGCGTGTGAACGGAATGGGTTTTGGAGTTGCATAATTAATGTTGACAGCAGTTGGGCGTGGCTTTGCTCAGTGCCTCAAGTCACTCTACTTCCTCAGGCATGCTGAAGAGTGTTTTGGAATTTGGAAATGAAAAAGCACTAGAAAATTAGATGGTGAATGCATGAGGTTAGATGAATCAACAAGTCAACAAAAGTTTAGCTTTTTTGTGTCTAGCAGACAGTATTTCTGGCATTAGGAGAATAGATTAAGGCTGATCAATGTCCATAAACCACTCACACATCTAAACTTGGACGAGACTTTGTTCGTGAGGAGGGAGTACGCAGCTAAAGTTACACGTTGATCAAGATGGAAGCGCAGACAATCCAGGGGACTTTTAGCATAATATTACTCCTCGAGCAAAACCATTTCGCTTTCGATAATGAAGTTTGAAGATATTTGTTAATGATTGAAGCAACAAATAACTAGAAGGTGTTTGCACAAATATTATCAAAAGCCAAGAAAGTGTACAGTTGGTTGTGACAGATCGATCGTTCTTCGATGCCTTAGGAGGTCACCCTAATTTAGTTCCGCATGTGAAGTAAACGTAGGAAGATAAGTCCAGCAAGTGGTCAAAGCTTTCCTTCGGTATTGGTCATTAGCTCAGCAACGGCCTTCTCCAGGGTCTCCACTCTTGACTCGGCCTCGAGCAGTAGAATGCATGAGTTAAGGCACGGTATGCGCGCCTGCATGAACGATGGCACCAAAAATACAAAAATGTGCCATCTATTTTTAACTCAGAATTTAGGAAAGTGGCCCTTAGTCATTAACAAATCGTGGAGAGCATACATTCCTTAAATCACACTAAAGGCACTCAAAAATCCACATTACTAATGAAAACGCAACAATGCTATGGAAATCGGGCGTATAGCATCGTAGCATCTCAATAGTGAGTTGTTGGAAGTACAGTTTAGTGAGAGTTCAAAGTAAGGATTTTGTATAAATGACACACCGTTAAGCTTCAATAAGAATAAAAAGTCTTGTAAGCTAAAATAATTAACTTTAAAAGTGCATATATGTTTCGAATAAATAACGAGAGGATGCATCAATTAAACGCGAACATTGCGCAAGTGCTTAAAATCGGCTATACCAATCGACAACTGTCCATAAGCAAACACAGAGCCACGATTTCACTGGCACAGACTAGACCGTTTTGAAGGGTCATCAAGTTTAGGGATTTTATCCGCTTTAAATTAGTGAAAAAGGATATATCTTGACATTGTCGTTTCACATTGTGTCGAAATTCTTCCATGAATTTCATTGAACGAGTTTTCGATCTATAATAAGCAGAGTATCCATGCCCTTACCAGTAATTTCAATTCTGAAATGTTTTTTGGATTAGCAGCAAAATGAAGACCACCAGATGACATTTTGAAAATTCGGTGCTATAAGTCCATATGGATACTGATCCAAACAATTACATAAATAATAAAAGAAGCAAGAAACACGGTGATATCAAATTTAAGAGCTAATAATTGCAAATGATTTGCGCCGATTACTGTAAGCAAATTTTCGCCACTATTTTTCGATTTATAATAGTTTATCCAACATGATTTGAAGATAAGAAGCAAGACGATACATCATATTAAGCATATTCCGGGCATAGCCTGTAATAATAGAACGCAAAATCATCAAAAATTACTCAGGACTCGTATCATAGGGCACGGTACCGTGCCAACTCAAGTACACATGATTCAATTTTTCAAAAAATTTTTAGTGGCAATTGTAGCGTCCCTACACTTCCCACCAAATAGATACGTCTATTTAAAAGAGAACAGGACAACTGGGTCTGAGTACGGTTCGAAAATTAGTCCACACATACAAGGACCAGACAAATATTAAAGTGACCGTCGAAAGTCAGGTTGTCATATAAAGCATTATACTGCCCTCTCTTCCTTTGAGCAACGTCCTTGACGCTCCCCTTGGTAAACGCTTCCCCTCGCTAGCGATCACAACATATTCGGTATTACACGAAAGCACCCACGAGACAACCGCGCCAGTCGGCACACAACATGAGACTGAGGAAATGTACCTGATCTCCTTGGCAGCTCCAAGTGGGTCTGCAGTTACGCTCGGTCTGACGACCAGATTAGGGGATGCATACATCTGTTGACCATCAAATGCTTCCAGGATTAGATCGTGGAACTCAGGTCTACAATAGGTATGTTACACGGACTCCGTATGTAAGAAGAACCGTGATGTTATTTTAACGCCTAAACGCGGATTTTTTATGGAAAGTTCCAACATGGAGCTTTCCTATATGGTTCACGGTGGTGTCGTTTCAGATGCTAACAGATTGTCTGCGGATAAGGTGACTAAGTTGATAAGGGATAAGGTGGAGCCAAATGCAGATATTGGTATCGATCCTTTCGTTGTGAGGATTCATAAAGTCTCCGCTACTGACGCAAATGTGTCTCTTTTATACCGTAGGTATAAACGGTATGTGTTAGGGTAGAGGTCCTTGGAAAAATGGCACCAAGTTTGAAATTCGAATTTGAATCTTACATCTGTCGTGAGATAGTTTCGAGCTTATAGAATGTAATGTAGTTCCCAATTTTGGCACTCATTTGATGCTTAAGCCAGTTGTTACATTTAATCAGACACATCATTTGCACGACCTTGATTACTTATGTATACATCTTTTGTTTAAAGTTTCACCGCGAAGTGTGCGCCTATAGGAAAGTGCGTGGTAGCTCATTCTCTTTAGTTGTATTGTATTCTCGCAGTTAGCAATGCAAATAAATTTTGCTTTATCCAGTTTTTTCCCTGGAACCATCTGTACTGCTTTAAGACGATTCTTAGGCTATTCCAGAAAGGATGGCCATATATTGGCGGTAGTAACAATATCACAAACCACTACAGTTGTTTAATATTTGTGAAACATGATGCGGATTGCATTCTATTTTTCTTCATCTCTCGTTGCTCGGCAGCCTAGAAGTATTGTTTTTATTTCTTTCATCCCTGTAGTGTATAAATTTGTTGGTGGTGACATCACTTTTAACCCAAACATTGATGTAAAAACGTTCAAAACAATTTGTGAAGAGTCCAAAGGAGTTCAATTGTTTGATGTACGCGAGCCGAGAGAACTGGAGACGGATGGTCGGATTCCTGGGGCTCTAAATATTCCTAGTAAGTCACAAGTGATGATCGTAATTAGAATTGAGATTTTTCTCTGCCATTTAATTTGCAAAAAAAAATGCAAAATGCATCCTGAAGCTTCTTTATTATCTTTTAAATTTTTGCCGGTTGGAGTCAATGTTTTACCTGTCTCACAAAGGGGTTATAGTTTTTTTGCAGCAAGTTGTTATTTTAGCGCTTTCTACCCACTTCCTTTAAAATTCCTTTCTTTAGTTGGCGAAGTAGAATCAGCCTTCGGTCTTGGTGAGACTGATTTTAACACAAAGTATGGGGTGCCAAAACCAAAAGCTACCGATGATAACATCATTTTCTTCTGCAAGTCAGGGGGACGAGGCCTCAGAGCTTGTAAATGTATTGAGAAATATGGATACAAAAGGTATGAATTAGTAATTTTATTCTTTGGCAGTACAATACTTAAATTTAAGACCTAAGGTCTTATTCCTTTTTCTCAACAATATACAGAACAATGGCTCTTCTTATTAATCGCAATGTAGTTTTCTCATGTGTCTGAGAGGGCTTTTGAGTCATAAGTAGGCTGTCCCTGTGAGAGCACTAGTAGATGCACTAGCGACAATCACATAGCGATAGCAGACAGCATTGACGAAATTTTGTACCACTCCACACACCCTTAAATGATTAAGCCATTGTTGCAAGACCGTGCAAGTCATACCGAGCTAAACAAACTTGATTGGTTATTCGTGCTAAAGGCGCATTTAATTGTATGCTATTCCTGTCGGTAAAGAATTGCTTACCTTGCCAGGTACAGCGCACATTTCCAAGGCATAAATATTAGCTAGCACGACCACTGAATAATCAAAGACAGTTGTAGTGCTGAAAAAGAAAAGCCGGATTGTCCTTAGTAAAGTATTTATAGAGACACAATTTTAAATGATTTCAGCAGTTCCTAACCATTTCATAACAACTCCCTTTTTATACTATTTAGAGCTTTAAATTTGGACGGTGGATACATGGCATGGAAGGAACAAATGAAAGAATAACACTTTAAATTGCCATTCTCAAGTGTTTTTATTTTAACACTTGACTTAAAGGTTGTAGAAGGAGTTGTTGATGTTATTCTTTGTCTCCTTCCCCAAATCCTCATCCACATTTGTTCTGCATGAGTGACTGAAGTGGACATAAGTTGATGAGGTACTTTTCCACGCCTTCAACTGCAAATCATGGCTGAGAGAGGAATTAAAATGTAATCGTGAAGGGGGGTTGGCGAATGATCTTCATATTGCAGGTTTAGTTGGCAGCATTTCTCTAAGTCATCGTCACTTTTGCTTGACAATGCCCCAGAAGAATCTCAGCAATGCCTTCCAAGTAGGCCAGAAACGCGCGTGCCATCAGGAACGCTAGCCTGATTTGGAAAATAGACTGATAAAAAGAGCTGCAAAGGCGAACCCCTAAGACAGTTTGAGAATGTAAATAATTGTATCGAAGTAGAAAATCTGCCTACCATAAGTGTCAGCAATCAAATTTATGTGTCAGTAAAGAGAGAGGAGAGAGCCAATCGCCATGCAATAGTCTATAAGAGCAGGGTCAGCCTTCTCATTTTGGTGGTCTTTTTGCATCCACTGAATCTCTACTTACTTTGCTGCATTGTAAAATAAGCTTTGGGCATCTAATCAACCATTAATGAAGCCTACAATCTTATCATATCTTTAGACTGACACGTTTTGAAGTACTAACACCTAATCGGTTGAGGAGGGATCTGAAAATTGTACCAAAGGTGGATTTTAAGCGTAACCGTTACATAAGAAGTCATTACCAATTGTTGCGAAAAAAGATGTTGTAGCGAGACCAGACTTCCCGCTGAGCAGAAGAAGGCAATGAGTGAAGCTGAACGCCTACTTAGTCCAGAAGGAGAAGAGGGAATGAGACTTTCACGTAGCCCGATGGCCTGACGAGCGTACACGGACAAGGCAAGCATTGTAACGCCCACCATTCGCATGAACGAAGTACTACAACCACTTCAAAAGGCTTCCAGCCATGCCGATTGGGGAAGTTGCAAAGCAACCGCCAGTCATACAAGTGCTCACATAAACAAAGCGTTGCAACAAATGTAATGCTTCATCGAGGTTTCAGGGGGAAGCTTTGATTGAACGAAAAGTGGTGATTGCAATGGAGAAAAAACGACATCGTGACTCGGTCATGTCGCATCACAGACCTTTGGTAAGGCCATTTGGCAGGCATTTTTAGACATCAGTAGCTTTAACTCAAAATTAGTCAGAACTTCTAAATCGAGTTGGATTAAGTTCGGGGCAAAATAAGAAAATAGTCTTCACACAAGAACAAAATTTACAATGGATTCTATCGAGGAGAATAAAGGTGGACAATAAATAATCCGAATATTTACGTTTTGAAGCGTGATTTTGATCGGGAATTTGATGTAAATATGTCATTACATTGCGATGTGAACACTTATTTAACTTGTTGACTGTAGGGCTTTGTTTATGTGACCGTCTGTATGATTGGCGGGCACCTCGGTGCTTGTCCTAGGCTTGTGTGTGTGAGCTGGTCCTTGCGTCATGCCAAAGCTCATTCTCTCCTCTTTTCCCCTCGAATACAAGTACTCAACTCTGCTTAATGTCCTTTTTCACCTAAATGGGACTCTTGGGATACCACACTGACGGCAGCGAAAAGCAAACCCGACCTTTCTTTTATCACTTCGATCCTAGTGTCCATCGTTTTTAACATATACCGACGGTGCGGAGGAAGCGCATATGCTTCGGGCCGAAGATTATCTAATTTCTTCCCAACAGAAGGGTTGGCCTTGTCTCTCAGGCAAGGTACTGACAACTAAGGTAACACCACCGCAAAATCATCTGGAAAAGTATTGTATCGGAGGTTCCCTTGCCACATCGGCACCGTGACTGCTTTTGATCCCGTCTTCCCTGCTAAACATCTCTTCTAGGCCAGTGTACTGTCGTCTGCCCGTTAAAAAGGTAGAAATTTTCTCTCTACAGTTTTTGCTCTCAGTCCGAACGTAAATGCAGCTCCAGGTGAATCTGCTGAGGAGGCCAAGGATGATCCTTTAGGGTGACTGGCGCAACTGACTCGTGGGGGCTTGCTTGCAGTGCAAAATAAGCTGTGACGGGTGGAGTGGGAGGAGTATCGAGGGTGACGTCGAGGACAGTGCTTAAAAGGAGAGATTGGCGGTTGCTTTGGCATTCATCTTGCCCTTGCCGAATTGGTATCAGTGTAAAATCACTGCTACTTTTTGAAGACACACAGATGTGTGTCCTCCTATGCACCTATCAAATCAAACAAATTTAGTAAGGACAATTAATAATAGATTAAGTTATTTTTTACACTTTTCGATCATTCTTTTAATTAGATCATGACCAAACCCCGACTTATAAAATGGTTTCGCTTTCCCAATGAAAAATGGTAAAACTGGAAAGACACATCGCGATGTTTCGTGGCTTCTCGTTCAAGATTTGAAGGCATTGTACATTACGGAATACTTAGCTTCAGACAGAAAGGGTAAAATCAAAGATCACACGACAAAAGCAAAATGGTTGACACTGACGTAGCTAATTAAATAAATAAGATATTACACTGCTCCTATCCCCTTGCCAGTAGCATCTTCGATGCGCTCTCTGCTACGCCATCACAGCGCTCTGCAAGGAAGTGCCCTCGAGCCGTCCGCGCAAAAAATCAGCTTCCATGGAACTGAGTCGTGGCACCTCACCCTTTTAGAGGCCCCAACTAGATCTGGAGGTTCGTTTCTTTTTTTTTGAAAGCAGGAATCAGGACACATGCTTCTGTCGACCATCAATTGTGTTCAAAGAGGGACACCAGAACACTGGTCTTTAAAGGTGGGGGATAAAACAAATGGAATCGAGTAGGAATTCATGTGGAAGAAGACTTAGTTTAACGCCATTCCCACTATCTATACGCGAATTCAGTTAGTAAATCCTCCAAAACGGTACCCTCCCACTTTGCTCATGGCGATGTCGACACTGTTGTGGACAGCCTGTCAGTGGAACAGGAGGATGGATCAAGTGCCAAACATTTGTGATCGCTGGAAGTTATAACAAAGTTGGGTTTGCAATCGGCTGCCACAAGTGCATTGGACACGGCTGAATACTTGTAGTGGGAGAGAAAGGGTAGAAGCAAGACTATGGCCTAGCTCGAAGGCCACCCATCATGGCAACGCCAAGATGTTACCCACAATTGCTGCCACACCCTTGGGCATTTGAATGGCCAAAGCATTTAAGGCTGATCCACTGACCCACGATGATGAACTCACCTCCTCCTCTCCTCCATTTCCCAATTTCAGTTGATTGACAGCTTCTGCTCTGAAAGTCACTATTGTTAACACGAGACTTTAAGGCAAATGAGAGGCACGAGGTTTATCCAGAGTACATTTAATCAAGAAACAAGTAATGGCCTGAACCAAATGCCAGCGTAACCAGCAGAGGCGATACGGGTTTCCAAGTGATCATAGGTGAAGCTCACAGGTACGACATCATGCGGATCCTACAGCCCTTCGTCCTCCTGTTGCCATCCATAGGCGTTCAACCATATCTTCAAATTGCAGTAAATTCTTAAGTGATGAATAAAGCTTTATTTTTTTACCTTTAGAGTCGAGTCTTGCTGTTTTGAGTGGTTATTAGCTGCACCAGTGAGCCAAGATCGAAGCTCAGAATAATCTGTCTACTAAACCACACCTTCGAATCGTCACTTTAAACACGTAAGACGCCTCCTTATGTCAGTAGTCAGGAATTTTTGTAGCACCTCTTTCGTTTCGGTAAGATAGTTTGGAAGCAGACACACTTTTACGACCTTATATTGGGTAGGGATGACTGAGTAGCAAATCTGAATGGAAGGAGAGTACGTATTTGGCCTAAATTTAGTCATTGATTTAATTTTTGTTCGTGGAAGTCCTCTGGGCACCATCTGGGATGCATATTCGTTCTTCTACCTGCTCGGTACCTTACACGTATTTTGAAGCCGGAAACAAACAAACAATTTTGCTTAATGAAACTTGATCGTTCCAAATGGAAGCTTTTTGAGGAAAAAACCTTAAAGTCCATACTCATTCACTCGTGAAGATCTATGTGCTCGCCATAGGCGATACATTAACGCATATACCAAAGCCCACTAAAATCTAGCGGTGTAAAACATCTATAACCAAGCAACCAATCGCAAAAAGCCAAAACATTTTGCTATTATTGTAGGAAATTAGCCTCATTAATTGAAACTTAGGTCAGTTCCGGTTCGCTTAAAGGCGGCACCGTAGTCCATTATTTATTTGACTAGCTTCATACAAGGCGGTCACTTTGATGGCCGCCTTGGTTTTGCCTCATGGGATGGCCTTACTTCTGCCATTTTGTCTTTTAGCAAGTGTTCAGCCGAGTGCATTGCCCTCTACTCAGCACGTTACAGGTATATTCATAGCCCAGATTTTTTAAAATACAGGAAGGCTTTTGACAGGAGCTCAACGTTTTATCATCCTAAAGAAAAGAAAACAATCCCGACTTTTTTGAAAGGATGAGAAAGGCATAAAGCGCAACTACTGATCTGACTGATCTTCATTATCTACACACACAATCTTTATCTGGGATAAAATGCACACATTACCTGCGCGGTTAAGCCTCAACGCAAATAATAAACAATGTCTCATTTTGCTTGGATCTTTTGACAAGATCTTGGAAGCTGCTCGAAGCTATTTAAATTTATGCATTTCTTAAGGAAAATATCACATGTGTTCAAACAACCAAACAAGAGAATAGCATTAGTAAATGTATTTAGCACGCTTCTGTGTGACCTTGAGTAGCAGCGCGAACCCTTTATTGTTTAAACCCTTGACTAAGCGTCTGCGCCTACTTGAAGTGCGGTAGCTCATTGCTGTTCCTTGTCTTCAATTTTATGTACATTTTTATCACAAAGAGCTTTTATCTTGAGCGATACTGACCCAGTAAAACAAGATCCGTGCTCTTTAGTTGGGCTTTCTATTATTACAAGCGGCTTCACTTTTCTTGCAATTTATGTGATTCTATTACTAGCCGTCCAACACGGTGGTTTTAAGCATCTACTGGGATATAGGTTATGTCTTTATGAGTTTGCCAACCTCCTATCAGTTTATTCTGTCTTAGTGTACAGGTTTATTGGTGGTGACGTCTCCTTTAACCCCAACATTGATGCGAGGACGTTTGACACAATATGCTCGGAGCAGAAGGGAGGTCAAGTGTTTGATGTGCGTGAGCCGGCGGAATTAGAGACGGACGGACGGTTCCCAAATGCCGTAAACATTCCTCGTACGTTACTTTTGTTTTCTATTTTTGCCATGAGTTGTTTTTTAGTAACATTTTGATTCTGTGACGAATAATATTCAAGGTTGTCTACTTGCACCATACTCTTCAAAGAAACATTTATCAGATTTGTATGATACAATATGGTGTCCGTCACTGAGCGGTTTCGACTAGACATTATTCTTTTGCTTTTTTATACAGTTTTTTAACAGCTTGCATGTAATTCGTTGCCTACTCAATCCATATTTTCCACAGTTGGCGAAGTGGATTCGGCCTTTGCCCTTAGTGAAGCCGACTTCAAAGCAAAATACGGCGTACCAAAACCCAGAGTCACCGATGACAATATCATATTCGTCTGCAAGGTTGGAAAGCGAAGTCTCACAGCCTGCAAATCCATTGAGAAATATGGATATAAAAAGTATGGCTTTTTATTTATACAAGGAAGGATTTAAACCCATTTTAAGTGTCTAAGGCTTTGTGTCTGAACCAGAGGGATTAAATGTACTGATGAGTCGGAATTTGGCTCGATTATTTAAAAGATTCCATCTTAAAATATTTTAGTAGCAGCTGTTTAATTCTACCCTTTAACAGCTTTTTGACACACACTTTTTGTTGAATTGCAAACAACCTCACGTCAACACAACACAAAACTCAGTGATTCCATAGATGCATTCGTTGCCAAAATTCGGCAACCGCATTGAACTCAGCATAGGTGTTGCACAACTCACGGTAAGACTACGTGTAATCATCTGGCAATGTTGACATTGGTGAAACCCTTAAACCCACCCGTACTCATAACACAACCTTGTGTCAAGCACCTATTCAACAAATATGCATAAAAACCCCGCCAATTTGTTATTCTTCTTAGCTTTAACCTTCCATTCCTGCTTTTTTAAACGAAAAAGGAAGTAATTCTTTGAGTAATAAGCCCTGTGTTGTTTAAAGATGTAGTCATGCAATGCAATACAGTGACAAATTCATCCTCCTGTAATTTAGAGCCCTCAATTTGGATGGTGGATACGTAGCATGGAAGGAACAAATGAAAGGATAACATTCAAATTGTCATTCTCAATTGTTTTGCTTTGACACCTTGCTTAAATGTTGCAGAAGGAGTAGTTGATGCTGTTCTTTGCTCCCTTCCCTAAACTCTCATCCAAACCTACGTTGCACGAGTCACCTCATCCATGGGAGACGTAACACGGTTGTGGTGCTTCGAGGCTCTGAATGCAGAGCTGCATAGACAGGAGCAGGCATTAGTTGATGAGGTACTTTTCCATGCATTCAACTGCCAATCATGGCTGAGAGAGGTATTAACATGGAACCACGAAGGGGGAGGTGGACGATGCTGTCAAGTTCATATTTCCATCTTCATATTGCAGGTTTAGTTGGCAGCATTTCCCAAAGTCATCGCCACTTTTGTTAAACAAAGGCATTATGCAATTCTACTTAACACAAAAGCTTCGGCAGACTGAGATTTCAAGTAAAATGGGGAGAAATGTGGAGGTGTTGGCACTAACTGCAGCCTAAGCCACTTAAGTGACACACACACACACACACGGTGGCCTTTGAGGAGGCTTTAACGACTCTGTGGTCAGAATTTCATTCAATTTGCCAAGGCATAATCAAAAGAGATTTTATGTGTTAGGAACGGTTCAAGATTGCTGGCCGTCAAATTTTGTCATAGGCACAATGATGCTTACATGGGGCAGCTTACTGACAGTTGATGGTGCATCCATGTATGCCTTAGAGGGCTTAACCAAGAACGTTTTGGGGTGGCCCCAGGCCAGCGAAATTAAATATTTAATGCGAGGGGACTGTTGACTCTAGGAAGAGCTTAAAGAATACTGGCATGACATGGTGGCCCTTTCTTGCCTGCAAACGGCAGAAAAACGAAAGGACAATAAAACAAAATTCAGGCATAAATGACTAGTGCGTGTGTAAGGTCAAACAGGGTGCAGAGATTATTCAATGAACTGTCTGATTCCTTAAGTGCGTTCCTTAAAATTGTGCTTGGAAGAAAAAAAAATTAGACGAGGCCTGGAGAAAGACTTAAGGAAGGATTTGCATCAGAAATAAGATTTGTCTCATTTGGCTCATTAGGCGTTGGCAGAGTCAAAACCGTGGAAGTTTCACATATACTTCGCCAACTGACAAAGAATTTGGTCGTGGCACTACAATGAAGCCACTGGCGGAGGGTGAAAAGGCGGGTGCCAATGACTAATCGCCACTTAGTGGGAGCGCTTTTGATTTCAAGGGTAGATTGGAGCCGATTGGCCAACAGAACTCGAATATCTTGTATTTTAGGCTCAGTCCAAAGTTTTGCTAATGAGGACTTACGACCTCCTCCTCTTCCATCCACCTGACAAGTTGGTAGATTTCAAGCTTGCAGGAGGGCTTTCAGTGCCCCCTATGAATTAATACGGCATACTTTAAAACGGACAAAGTAACTTATATAAATGGCCATAAGGAATGCATGCAGGTACCTTGAACAATTTCAGAAGGCGAATGTCTCTAGCAATACACAATTTTATAACGTGTCACACTGACACCGCTCAAGTGGCAGAGTCAAAACCTCCATTTGAAGGTGGCTTTGTATAGTTAGAAGGCCTTCCACCTCGGTATTCCTTTTATTTGTACAGAAAGGTAGTGGTACTATACGTAGGGAAGTTACTGCACACACTAAGGGCTACTGAGCCCATGAAAATGCATTACTTTAATATTTGTTTTCATAACTCGAGGGTGGAGCACTACAAGCAATTTCTCATTCCTCTCCGGCCCGTCAAAGCAAATTTGTGGATTAACAAACTTTTAAAAAACCAGAAAGAGATCACGCATCTTAGTCCAATTTATCCCCTTTAAAAGTGCGAAATTGCCTTCTCAATAAACGGTTACGCTTTGCGGAGTTTTTTGCACAGAAGCACACAGTCAGGTCCAATGATTGTTACCATTTTGTCAAGCCTTCCTTAACCAGCGCCTTGACAATTAGCCCTGATTGTGCCAAACATACTTTTGAGGGTGGCAAATTACACCAAGCGATTCGTTTTTTCCTACGTTTCCACTCTTCATTGTGGGTAAGAGATGGTGCGGCACTGGAGTAGGCAGAAGAGATTAAAAGCTTTTGGAATTGACTGGAGGCATAACATTTAGCAGACAGACAGAGAGCTAACTTGTTTTTAACCAAAATATTCCGTAAATGAAGATTGTCCACTGTGAAATGCAATTGAATTTGTCTGCTTAATTAAACCCATTTGCGCCTGTAGTTAATAGTTACTTAAACAAATTAAGTAGACCATCTGTGCATTGCACAAATCACATGTCATTTTAAAATAGCAGACCATTTGCTTACAAATTGCACATCTTAACAAGTTAATTAGTCTTTTATGGCCCGAGTAAAAACATTCACTCATCAAAAGGTCAAAAGTGAGACCCGCATAAGAGATAAGGAGAGTGGATGTCATGTTAGCTAAGAATTTTGATTGTATGCAAAGTTTTGCTGGCAATAAAACATCAAAACATCATAAAAATGATCAACTGGAATACCTTATAGTTCGCAGTGTAAGTCTTTCTTAGAAGAAATGGCCTAAATGTAAAAATAATTGGACTTGAATCTGTAGAAGAGCGCATCTATTGACTGTGAACATTCAAAGTAGTCAGAATGTGCTCTTGAATCATGAATTGCAAAAGAAGCCCTAACAAAAGGCATTTATTACAATTTTATCCGATTCGAATGTCCTACTGGCTATCCGACATTTAAAGGTCAATCATTGAGCCCATCGATAAAGCGGAACGATTCAAAGTAGCAGGCCCAAATCTTGATTGCAATTACAGACGTATGCATTTGATACGTATTTTCCCATGCACTCAAATAAAGTGCCTAATTTAAGGAAAATTAAAATGACGAATTGTCACTTGTTAGGCATTTAAACTGCGTGAGGAGAACGGTTTCCTCAATTCGACTGACAATCAAAGCAAAAGCGTAGTTAGTTCGTTTAATAATTCTAATAATGAAGTTATATTTGTATAGCCCCACCAGCAAGGCCCTCTTTATTTACTGAGATTATAAAACAACAAACTCTGTTCCATGGTGTGTGTCAACATGCATGGTCGGTAATTGAATCTATGTCATTGCGTCACTGACACTTTCAAAAGCCACTGATTACTAACAAACAGGGCGTGATAAATTAAGCTAAAGGCTTAAACCAGGGAGGGAAGAGATTGATGATTGGATCGCGCATATTTGAAGGGGTTTAATTATTTCTTCGGGGTTAAAATCGGTTCTGAGGTAAAGATTTACACATGGTCATGAAATTCGTGGGCCTTTGGGAAAAATGGATGGTAGGCACTTGAAGGGCTCTTAGTCAAATTAATTTATCTGAGGCACGATGCTGTACTAAACCCAAGAAAAAAATTGCCAAGTAACGAGCTTGTAGAGCTGAGCGACAAGTCAGTCGGTTGGACCTATTAGCAAGGCCTCTCCGCGGTGCTCCATCAAAATCGTACTGATAAGAGAACGCAAAGCCTAAAAACATTAACGCACCCAAACTTATAAAGTCTGAGGAACAACCACCTTCACAGCATGCTTTGAGAGAAAGTGATAGCTTATAATAATTATTTTGAGGCTTATGAATCAGATGATGAGCGTCATGTCATTCAATACAGGCCGGTATGCATTTTCGCAAAAGCTCAATCACTTTCTTCCTGGTGAAGAGATGAGAAGTGTATGTGAAAAAAATGGATTAAGAACCTCAAGGTCGTATAAATTGGCGTGCTATGCGCAAGAAGTAAGTGAAAGGACTACACACAATGATAAAAAAAAAACAAACAATCACATGTAAACTGACGATGCGTATGGAGCGTAATTGCATCAACCCAATTTGATGTGTATGATACTTGTTGTACTTCCTCCGGGATTTTTTTTTCAATTTTACTAAAACGCTAATTTAATTTCAACATACAGCTCCTCAGGGGGTACAGAGAAGAGCTGAAGTTCGACGGCGAAACCTACATTGCCACAAAATTTAGCTTTACTAGGAATTAAGGACTAATGCTTTGGCTTCTCTAGTGGAGTTGCGCGAGAATTACCAAGTAAGTATGAATTTGGGGTGTCAGGGGTTTGAGGAACCCCGTTAAATGATTTTGTGGTTTCGCAGAAAGGGCGCATTTTAGCCATTAATTAAATGAACAGACAGGAAACAAAGCTGATAAGAAGACTTTCATCTCGCTGGTGTGTGCGTCTTTCAATGCATATTTAAGGTCGTGTGTGTTTGAAACACTCAACCATACCTCTTTCTGGTGCCATGGAGACCGGTGAAGTTGTCAAAAGAACCACTGTGGAATGAATGTCTTCCTCTTGGCATTTAATTAGGTATAATCACTCATGTTTAATTATAAGTGGACATTTTTTAACATCTCAAAGACAAAACTAAATGAGTGAAGCGGTGATAAACTTGTG